AACTACGGATACCAACTGTCAGAATGAGTAGTCAGAATAGCGAGGGTTATCTCGTAATTAGTTCCAAATCACTGAGCCAAGTTCCGTCCAAAACTTCAAATAGGCCTAAACGATGACAGACATAACACAGCAATTCAGCTAATAATCAACTAATTAAGTCGGTCAACAGATACGCGAAAACAAATTCATGACAGCAGACTGCAAAAACTCAAAAAAGTGTCACCCGCTGGTTTTCTCAGGTTGTCTCCCATGCAAGTACTAACCACGACCTATTGAACTTTACTTCCATTATCGGTCGATCACCTGACCACTCATCTATCAGGTTCGTTTAAAAATTATCGTTATTGGCGGCCATTTATTTTATGGAAATGTTTAAAAATTCTACATCATTCGAGGGCCACTACGATATTCAAACGGCCTTTTATGACATAGTCATTCACTTTCGCAAACTTTTAACAACTGGACTCGATAATGTAACAGAATAGTTAACATTTCCATGTAAATCTACCAACTTTGCTCAAGCTTTTCACAACTTTGTAAGCACTTTGTTAATCACTTTGCGCTTGGGTAGTGGTACAATGTGCCAACATAAATAGCTGTTTTTGACTTTTACATAATTTTGTTCTAAATTTAACTGCGGGGTGCTATATAAAATGATTTAGGGGGAATATAAACGCAAATTCACCAACTTTTCAATCGCTTTTCACATTTTTAGTATGTGTTTGTTCATTTTACGGCCGGCTCATATGACAGTCTGCTAACATGGAAAGTTTCAAATCATGATGTATTTTAGTCATTTTGGACCAAATAGGTGCAGACTACAGAAACTCAAAAAAGTGTCACCCGCTGGTTTTATCAGGTTGTCTCCCATGCAAGTACTAACCACGACCGATTGAACTTTACTTCCATTATCGGTCGATCACCTGACCACTCATCTATCAGGGACATTTAAAAATGATCGTAATTGGCGGCCATTTAATGTATGGAAATGTTTAAATATTTTACATCCTTCGAGGGCCACTACGATATTCAAACGGCCTTTTATGACATACTAACAGATCAAAACATGAATTAAAAATGAAACATTCTAGACATATGTAAGAAAGATGAAACTCGTTCTTGCATGTATTACATGTGACAATATTTGTTACAGTATCGACCCCCCCCCCCCCTCCCTCCAACTACATATTGGCATAACAGAAAAAAGTGTGTTAAAGAAAATAATAATTACTCTAATAATGAAGGCCAAAAATCATGGCATAAATACCATAAAAATTATAAAATTAAATTAAAAAAATTATGTTCAAAAGATTATCAAACAAAAACAAATTGGAACCAAGGTTAAACAATGCATAGAGATAGGTAAAGCAGATGGAAAATGAAGTAAGAAATCTTGGTCTGTTCTCAGTGGTCCGAAACAAAGACTTATTCAACTGCTGTGCTTGACCAGGAAATGAATTTTGTGCTAGAAAAGGATAAAGTTAAAAATGTTTTAATCAAGTACTGGGAAAATTTGGGAGAACGTAGCCAAATATTACATGAAGATACCTATAGTGAAGAAAGAAAACATTTTGAGAAAAAAGTAATAGAACCTGTAGCTGAATATGATCAAGATTCCAAGCAAAACATGCAACATATATTAGTAAGAAAGGAGCAAGTTATTAAAATAATTTCTAATTTAAAAATGACAAATCTGCTGGTTCCGATGAGATGTCAGTTAGATATTTCCTATACTAGAAAACAATAATAAAATTTGCTTGGAAATTAATGTGTTATATTGTCAGGACCATAGTTAAATGTTAATAGGCAATTTTCTCGTTTCAATTGATCTTTGCAAAAGACGTTTGTGGCTTTTCAGACAACTTTTCCGCCTTCATAATTGACTTTTTGAATTTTTTAAATGGATTTTTGTGGCTATTCAGACAATTTCCCTGTCTTTTAATACTTGGTTCTGTAGTGCAACTGCGACCGCCTACTTATTCAAAATTGGACTAGCTCATTAATGTTAATTATAATTTGCGATGATGTGGCAATATCGTTTCTGGATTAGATAATTTGAATTATACCAGTCTTTTTGATTTATAAAAAAATATCACCCCTTTCGATGTGTGTCACGGGAACAAAACCTTGGGATAAACCAAACCTACAAATACAGATATTGAGGAAAGTGTTTACATAGATACACATGGGTGCCACATAAGGGGTAGACTTGCATACAGACCCTTGTTTATTTGTTCTTGTTTCCTCGACAAAATAAAAATGTTGTGGGAGTGTAAATGGTGGAATCCGAGTTACCGCGAAAGTCAGGTTACCGCACACACACAAAATTATACATCTTTTCTTCCCAAAGATATGGGAATGCCTAAATCCGGAAATCCTTGGTTTTTTTTTTTTTTTTTTTTTTTTTTTTTGTGCGGTAATACAATTACAAGACATTTTAACTATCTGAAATTGTATTGAGAAAACAAAAACAACAAATAAACAAGTGACTGTATGCAAGTCTACATAAGGGTCACAGTGGATATCAAGCCATGTCATTTATTCTGTTAAGGGCGCCATCATAAGGCTTGTTGTCACTTCATTCAAATAGGTTGACTACTTCCGGTGCGTGTACATGTGAGTGTCGTGCGAGCTGAAGACTGCCATTCCCGGGACCGAATCCAAGCTGTTCGGAAGCTTCCTACTATATCTTCTTGTCCCGACGTTCTATCCACCTTGAAATACAATACTGGTAAGTGAATTTAAATATCCAAACGCATATTCACCGGTGACGAAAAAGTGACCACCAGAACTCGCATATGTTTGCCTACCAGGGTTTTCCTGCGATAGCCTTTGACCATCACTAACTGAACCGTGTCCCGGCGTGGGTTTGTAGTGTCTGTTCCCTGATATGCATGATGTGGGTTGAGTTACTAGTACTGTCGGCGATTGACGAGGCAAGCGTACTGGGGTGATGCATGTATGCTTACGTTTTATAATATGCATCGAGTGACTTGTATCTCCACACTGGTGCTTGGCATCAAATATGTTGAACGGATCACATGCTCACATGTGAGCTCACATGATAACGACCCCTCGTGCAGCTGTTAGGGATATACTATTGAAATGTTGTATTTTATAGAAAACGGTTTATTATGACTTGGGTGGTTTCTGTTTAGAACCTCACATGTTTATATATCGACGTAGTTTTGTATCTGGGTTTCATCCTGTGGCGTTTATGTCGCTTGTAATGTCAATCACGTTTATTTATTGACATAGGTCATGTGACTTTTGCTGTCAGTCGGAGATCATCCGACTTTAGTCGGTGACTGGCGTAATGACGTGCGCGTTTGCTTATAGAGGCAAGGTGTTGTGGTCGGGATTTCGTTGTCGTTATATTCGTTATTTGTCTGTACGTTATTTTCCTGTATATTTAAATAGTTAGGGTTGATTATTTGAAACTCAAAGGTGGGGTGAAAAAGAAAATCTATACAATGGCAATTTATGGGAAAAAATCTACAGGGAAAATTACAGAAGGGAAAAAAACTACAGTACAATATATTTATTTCTTGTTACCCTTTAATAATAATAACTTTATTACACTACCGAACCATCAGCGGGTTCAGTATGGTAAATCAAAAGTCAATGTCATTTTTTGTTTGTTTTGTTTTTTGACTCCCGTATGCGAAGCACAAAAAGGGAGTTTTTGCAGTTAGTGTGTCTGTCTGTGTGTCTTTGTATGTGCGTGTCTGTTCCACTGATATCTCAAGAACCATACATTGATTTTTGATGAAACTTGGTGCATAGATGTTCTGGGCCAATGCGCAGATTTGATTAGGTTTTGGTAAAAATCCATGCATATTAATTAACCTTATTTGCATGATAATTAGATGATTTTTAGTTGTTCCATGACTGTTCCACTGATATCCAAAGAACCACTCATTGGATTTTGATGAAACTTGGCACATAGATATCATAATAATTACCTAATTAGCATAATTAATTAAATTTCAGCTTTTGATATTTCAAGTAGTAATCATCACATTTCAATGAAACTTGGTACATAGATGTCATAGGACACTGCACAGACCTGATAGTTTTTAGGGTAATATGAGTAAATATTAATTACCTAATTTGCATAATTAATTAATTTTCAACCTTTCATATTTCAAATAGTAATCATCACATTTCAATGACACTTGGTACCTGGGTCATAGTTACTTAATGACTGTGCAGACCCCTGATTAGTTTTTGGGTAAATATTTGTGCATATTAATTACCTTATTAGCATAATTAGTTAATTTTCAGCTTTTTGCCTGATATCTCAAGTACTAATCATCATATTTCAATGAGACTTGCTACATAGATCTTCTAGGACTATGCAGAGACCTGAGTTTTCATTGGATATTAATTACCTAATTTGCATAATGTTCCACGATTCACCCAGAGTGGGTGTGGCCACAGGACGGCGCCAGCGAGATTCGAAAGCCAACCGCTCAGTCAAAACCCAATCAGTTAGCCAATTCTCTAGCAAGTTGGCAATTGGCTGCCCCAAGTGCTCTATATTAATGTTGAAATTTTTAATGGACTTGAATATTCTGATAGTAATGACATATCTTTAATGGACTTGAATATTCTGATAGTAATGACATATTTTTCTGTTTCAGAAAGGTATTTAGGGGAAAACAATTTATAACAAAACTTAAAAAGCAAAATTAAAACAGTGAAAACAATAGTCAAATAAGATAGATGTATTATTTCTTTTATGAATGTTAAAAGCATGGTATTTAATGTTAAATGTTGTGGTGATCATGTTGAGGTTTTGTAAATTTTACAAAATTAATTTCCATCATAATTTGATTTCTCCTGGGTCAAGAAACAAAACTATTTGTGTGCCTTACTTTCTAAGCTGTTTCTGTTATTATTATTACTGGTAAATGTAGTAAATTGATTTTTTGGAAAGTATCAAAACAGATGAATTAGTCAAAATTACATTACTGGTATGATGTATATGGGGAAATGTTTGTAATTTTTTGTTTTCTTGTCTCAATTATCATATTTACTAATACTTGAAAAAAATCTAGAGCATGGAGACAAGCGACTACCAGTAAACGTAATAAGAAATAATCACATAAAAACAACAATGGGTATGCTGCACTAGTAATCTAATCTAATCTAATACACTATTCATGATTTAATGACACATAGTAAATAATGTAATCATAGGATAAGAATGTAACACAAAAACTAGACTTCTTTTGAACTTAGTCGTTCAAATTGGGGGGAAAAAATAAAACTCCAAAAAGGAGATTATTTAAGGAAAAGCAATATTTATAACCATGTGTGCGATGAAGATACTATTTCATGCAATTACCACAACCCTGTGTCAATTAAGCTTATTCTGACTAATGTAACAGAATACCTTGTTTGGCAGTAACCAAACAATTGTTTTATTGTGGAAATAGAACATAGTTTACACCAGTGTTTGAAATTAATGCTTGTACGCCTATGATAGGAATTATTTCAGTCAGGCTGGTAAAAATTAAAACGTGCATGGCTGGTGGTCTGGTAAATTGTTTTCATGGTTTGCTACTAAATGTAATTTCACTAAATAATATTAAAAAGTTGAACCCATTTTCTAATGGCAGATACAAATATGAGAAAAAGCAACAATTTGATATGGGAAATTAAAATATCTGCAGTATGTTGAATTTTTACTTAAAACAGGAACAGATTTATTTTAAAATATTCTTAGATGTAGGGCTGTTAACTTTCTGGTAGGGATGGTAAAATTTGAAGGTTACCTGCCCTGGTGTCTGGTTTTGAGAGCTTTCAAACCCTGATGTCACAACATCATGTTATGTGAATAATTATTCAAGAAAGCATTTAATTAAACCATATAATTAAAACAATAGCAAATATAGCAACAAGCATATATATATTAAGCACTTCAGCAGGGGAAATATTAACAGGGCTTGAACGGAGAAGTGAGGGTACCCATTTAATGATTTTCAAGGCCATATTTACGAATTGCCCCTAGCACATAAAATGTAGGAGTAACATAGTGAAAGACACCATGGCAAAATTATTGGGCATCAAGGCAATGGCTTATGATGCATCTGTGGAGTTCATACCATGTATAGCAATTAATGGCTAAAAATAACAAGACCATTGTGTATAAATTCAGGTTTCTATTAAAATTGGATTAATGATTTGATAGATGTCAGTTAGATACAAAGTAGCAAAACTGATGAAGATGGACAATCAAGACACTAGTTGTCATGACAACCAGATGGTAAATCTATTTTCAGTGAATAAATATTAAGTTAAGCATGTCTTACTGGATAGCTTATGAAAATGTGAATTGCCTGTACAATAATTGATTTTATTCTATCTTGTGTGTGGCTGATATGAAAGATGAGATGCACTTTTTTCGACTATACTTTTCGAATGAGTTGATACGGTAGGTGATGAAAATGTCATTTTCGACATGCCATACCTGTACATGTATATTTATATTTGGCTAATATTTTTTTCATTCATTTTAAATTGTTTTTTGCCTGAAAAATGTACAATTTTGGTTAAAAATTATTGTTAACTGTTTTTATGCTGATTGGTTATTTTATCCAGCCGTGGAGAGAATCCTGCCAATGGCTGTTCTTCAATGAAGTGTTTTATAACTATGGTGTTCCATGAATCTACCATGGTTTCCTTGGTTACTTTTATCATTGCGTCTCTAGTGTTTTAGTCACATGATAAACATGTTTGCCGATAGAAGCACATCTCCATTAGAAGTGCATATAAACACAAAATAAAATGTGTGTACTGAACATTAATATACAACATATTTTGATCATAGAAACACTGTAATGTATTGTATGGGTATGCACTACTAATACTGTAAAATAATTTATTTTTGTATGAAATTTATTTTCACTGAATGATGATTTGAATGGAAAAACAAGCATTTTCACTAGATTTTATTTACACTGATTCACCCCCAATAGCGAAAATAAATTCCAAGTGAAAATATTTTACAGTAACAGTAAAGAAAATGTAGTTACTAACATTGCTGACTACTTGAAATTTCCATACATTTATATATTATATATTTCTTACATTTATTATCAGTTCAAGATGTTGTCAAGACTAAGTCGTGGTGTTTGTCAGGTGGCCCCTTTATTGAGAAATACAAGTACCAGTCCTAGCCTCGGAGCTGCTCAAAAACTCACTTCCGAAGAAATTTTCAAGAAAGAAGAAAAATTTGGTTGCCATAACTACCAGCCAATACCAGTAGCAATTGAACGAGGGAAAGGTAATGTTTCAGCATCCTCTCCTGATTGATTTGAGTTGGTCATTCAGATAATGTGCAATGCATTATGGGTATTTGTGACAATTCAGCCCTACTGAGCATTTGTGCAGTGTATTATGGGAGATATTTATTCCCCGTTCGGACGCAGTCCGAAAACGGGGACTTGTGTTTTGACCTCCGTGCGTCTGTGCGTTCGTCCGGACCTGTATCTTAGAAATGCCTGGACCAATCACAATCAAACTTCACACATACATCATACATGATATTATACATATGCACGTCAATTTGTTTCATGATCTGATTCAAGATGGCCGAATGGCGGCCATTTTTGTGCTAAAAATCCTAAAAATCAACCATTTCTCGGCTGTTTACAAATGGATTTTGTTCAAACTTGGTATATACATTAGACATTATGGGACCTTGATCCAAATAATTTGTTTTTCAGATAAGATTCAAAATGGCCGACTGGTGGCCATTTTGTATTAATGAATGTGGTTCTCGTGCTATATCTCTGACTTGCTTTCACTGATTATGTTCAAATTTTAAATATTCATTATACATCATGTCATAGATAGACAGATATATTGGTTTGACGATCCTATTCAAAATGGCCGAATGGTGGTCATTTTTGTGCTAAAAAATCATCACATATCAAGCATTTATGGGTGGATTTCGTTCAAACTTGGTATATACATTAGACATTACGGGTTCCTGATGCTCATCATTTTATTTTTCAGATTAGATTCAAAATGGCTGACTGGTGGTCATTTTGTTTTAATGATTGGGCTTCTCGAGCCATATCTCTTAAATGCTTTGACTTATTATATTTGAATTTTATATATTCGTTATACATCATGTTGTATATATATACATGTATTCAAAATGGCTGATTTTGAATGCTGTTCCAGAGCAATATCTCTCAATATGGACAAGTAATTGTTTGACGATCAGATACAAATGTCAATCATTTTAATGTTAAAAAATCATATTCCTGACATGGTTATATTCCAGCTATATTACTACTGTAAAGGGGGTAATTATTCACTGGGTTTTAATTTAGCTTATTTCGCTGACTGGAAAAATGCGCTAAATTAAAACACAGTGAATATGTAAAATTTAGCATAGAACACATTATCTAAATGATAAAACCGTGAATTTAAAACCCACTGAATATGCCTGAAATGGTAAATCAGTGAAATTTAAACCCAGTGAAAATTAGTCATTTTACAGTATAAACAAAACTATATCTTAAATTTGATAACTAACAGGGACTGGGCCATGCATGGCTTGTTTTTTAGTAGTTTCAATGAAATGTTATCATGCTAGAAACTCCCTAAATTAAATGTAATGTCCAAACCATTGTAACTAAACACAATTATGAATGAAATACTGTAGTCTGGAAGTTTGTGATTTGTTTCCTCTTTGCCTTTGTTTTCTAGCTAAGATTGAATAACTATATATACCAACATGTTCATGACAATTCCTTGAACAATGTTGACAGTCTGTTTTTTACAAAACTAAAGCACAGGTAAAACAGAGATGCAGGTTTACTGTACATTGTCACCAAAAACTGCTCAAAAATGAATGAATATTAAGACTGAAAACCACTCTTTTTGACCTACAAAATTAGCCATCAGGAAATCTTAGACAAACATTGGTACAGCATATGTACTACTGTATTTTCCTATAACAATGCTTTCAGATGTATACAATGTGGTTTGATCAATACATTTAGCAAAATTTAAGCTGGCTTTCAAAACTGAAGCATCTTGTATGAAAGAATGCTATTCAAGGGTTGTATTTCTAACATGCCTTGAACAACCACATTCACATATATGCACAAACTAATTTTGTAATCTAAATAAAATGGTCGAATGGCAACCAATATAATGTTAAATATATGTAAAAACATGAATGTATTCTATCCACTGTCGTAATACCAGCAAGAACAGTAACACCATTGTATGGATATAATCACAATCTCTGTATGATAGAGAGACTGTGATGTAATCTACCATCATACTTACCACACCAACATCAATTGACACATTAATTAAAATAGGTCATTGCTTTCTTCTGTAATTCATGAAAATGTTCCCGTTCAATGTCAACCCATTTTGTTTAGAAGAGATCACTTTCTAAAATTACAATAAGGACTGTCATTTTAAATGACTTGTAAAATTTTTTTTTACTGTAATGAGTGAAATAAATGGTTTTTGCAGGTGTTCATGTGTGGGACGTGGACGGTAAACGATACTACGATTTTCTCAGTGCATACAGTGCAGTTAATCAAGGTCACTGTCATCCTAAACTTGTTGAAGTAATAACCAAGCAAGCAGGAAAATTAACTTTAACTTCAAGAGCATTCTATAATGATGTATTGGGTGAATTTGAGGAATATGTCACAGGTTTATTTGGATATGATAAAGTGCTGCCAATGAACACAGGTAAGTCATGTTACTGTTACTTCTGGTAACTACTTTTATATATTTTGTGTTACGTCTGGTTACTTGTGTTACGTCTGGTTACTTGTATTACGTCTGGTTACTTGTGTTGCGTCTGGTAACCACTGGTATTTGTATTATGTCTGGTAATCACTGGTATTTGTATTATGTCTGGTAACCACTGGTATTTGTATTACTTGGTGTCTTTCTGCAAATACTGTAATTTGTTTATTTTAGTGTTGAAGGTGGCGAGTCTGCCTGTAAGCTGGCAAGGAAATGGGCGTATCAGTCAGAGATTCCAACAATAAAGCAAAATATATTTGCTGAGAACAATTTCTGGGTAGACTTTAGCAGCTATTTCATCATCT